ACGCTGGCTCATATTCAGCTGCTGTCAACCAGCACCACTAGGTCTTTTTCCTCTGGGCAGCTTTCCAGCCACTCTTCCCTCACTCCCTCTCCTTGTTTTCAGGTCATAACACGGCACAGTATCTGTTGGGAGAACACAGATGTCTTTGTTCTTTCCAGCCCATCAGTGTGTTTATCTTGTACCAGCCCTGGACAAGAGCTCAGGCTCATCTAGTGCCCTTATCTTTTGCGTGACCATGAGGAGGGGTGGAAGGACAAGCAACCCACTTGTCTTGCCAAGACACAGCACAGATGTTGGAAGTTTTGTCACCTCACAGCTACCACGGTGGCAAGTTTAATGCTCAGCAACTATTGTGATCACTGGAATGGAGTGAGAGCCCCATGGCTCTGTCCCTCCCCCCATTCCACCTGAATTATTAAGCATCATTATCCTGCTAAGGCCCAATCAGCCCATGACTTATGACCTAGTCCCACCTCATCAACAGGTATAAAATTATCCTATAGAATCCAAGGAGAATTCCAACTATCCAAACAGGTCAACAGGGACACCCCTTTGCTAAGATTTGCACTGGATGGTTCCTCAGGAATTGCTAACACGGGCCTGAATGTTTGCATGAAGTTCATCTACCAGTGGCAACTCCTGACCTTGTTCTAGCTGCCACCTTCATAAATCCTCTTTCTTTTCAACTTGGTGCACCTGTCTCAGTGCAGGCTCTTGGTGGGGCTCTGAAACAGAACAATGTTGATCACAAACATGATCCAAGGGGCTGGAGCATCTCTGCTCTGGAGACAGAGTGGGGATTGTTCAGCCTGGAGAAGGCTCTGGGGAGACCTTAGAGCAGGTGTCTACAGTCTTTGCCACATTTCTAAATGTTTTTAATGAGGAGTGTTGAAGGCAGAAGAAGGTAGAAGCCCTGCAGCCTCACTTCCCCACTGCAGCTGGAGTGAGTTATTGGCATGTTTAGCCCATGCCCCCTCCATGGAGCTCTTGAACCCATGATGCCTGCTCTCTATCAGCCCAGGAGGGTGGGTGCATCTTCCTTAAATTTTCCAAAGCCTCACAGATCCAGCAAACAGCCCCATTTTCTAGTGCTTCCCCCGACACACAGGGGTTTGGGGCTGCTGCAGCAGGGGGTGGTGAGACACCGGCCCAGGCTGCCCGGAGAGGTGGGAGATGCCCCATTCCTGGAACCATTTCAAGTCAGGTTGGATGGGCCTCTGAGCAACCTGTTCTAGTTGAAGATGCCCCTGCTCAGTTCAGTGGGGCCAGACTGGGTAAACCTTAAAGGTCCTTTCCCACCTGTTAGAAATGAAATGTAGTGTTGTTTTTGCATTTTAGTGTTAGAAACATAGTGTCAGGTTTGGTTTATATCCTAGTGTTAGAAATATATAGTTTGTTTGAGATAACTGAGATGTCTGCACATTCTAAGGACACCAGGAGTGGTTTATGGCCCAAGAAACTGAGGGAGTGAATTGGGCTCCACCTGGGGATCTAAACATGGAGAAGGATTTATGACCCGAGATAAGACCTAACAAAGCCACTTCTATCTTGCTCTCAGGACAGGATGACACCAGTAGATTTGTTAATTGGGAAGACAGCCCACGGGGCAAGAAAGGTCAAAATTTTACCTTAAAAGGTAAAAAGTAAACTGCTAGAATGGAATGTGTAAACAGAGGCGGGAAACTTATAGGATAATTTGAGGCGTCGGAGAGGCTGTGAACCCTGGAGCGCCCAGCCAGTGGGGAAACAGGGGAGGGAAATTTGCATCAGGAATAGGGAATATAAACCGTTATTCACCTTACTATGGGTGTGCCTGCTTGTTTAGGTCACCCATTCTTGCAAGAATGTAAATAAACTGTGCTTCGTTGAAGGATCTGTGTGGGCCTGTTAATTGGCACGACAAACGTTTCTCACACACCCAAACCATTCCATGGTTCTGTGGGCTGTGAGGACAAACCAAAGAGACAGTCATGGGGGGCCAAGGAATCACACCATCCTGATCAAGGACACAGTTTTTGGGGCCATTTGGAGCTGTAGAACTCTCCCTAGGACAAGAAGGAAATTAAAACCACCTCAAATTTATTCTCTTAAAGCCTCTCTTGGAGCTTCTTGTGCACATCACTGATTGAGGTCCCTTTGCTCCCCAGCCCTGGCACCCCAGGCAGGGTTGGAGCAGGGACAAAATCAGGCGATGCTGGTGGTGGAAGGAGCCCCTTCCAAATCAATAATACTGTGCTTCCAAAGCAGAAGACATCTGTCTCCCGGCAGGGTGTCTGTCCTGCTGCCGCCGGGGAAAACCGGCCGGGACTTTTCCCGTCCTCTTCTCCCTTTAGAGGGCACCAGCTGCTCGGGAACCGGGCTCTGTGCTCCCTGCCGCCGTGCTCGGGCAGCCGGTGGGTTGCGGGACCCCCGTCCCTTGGGCTGGTTTCCAAGTTGGCTGCTCCCACAGGTCCCACATTTACCTTCCTGCATCTCCTCTCCACCTGGGATGGCCTCTGCTCCATGCGGCTGCGGATGGACACGCAAGCCAGGCAAGGGACCCCCACCTCCCCTGCCTCAGTTTCCCCCATCTTCTCCCTCACTGGTGTGGACTATGCAACTACGGACTTCCCTTGGCGTGAAGAGAGGCTGAGGAACTCGAATTTCATGGGAACCCTGCCTGCTTGCACAGGACATGCACTTGGGCATCTCTTTTGCTCCTGACATGGGGGAGAGTGTCAGGGAACCATCGACTCACTCGATAGTTTGGGAGGAAAAGACTTTAAAAACAATCTAGTCCCAACCCCCTGCCATGGGCAGGGACACCTCCCACCAGACCAGGTTGCTCCAAGCCCCATCCAACCTGCCCTTCAACACTGCCAGGGATGGGGCAGCCACAGCTTCCCTGGGCAACCTGGGCCAGGGTCTCACCACCCTCACAGCAAAGAATTTCTTCCTCAGATCTCATCTCAATCTCCCCTCTTGCAACTTGAAACTGTTCCCCCTCATTCCATTCATCAATGCCCTTGTCAAAAGTCCCTCCCCAGCTTTCCTGTAGCCCCTTCAGGGCCTGGAAGGTGCTCTAAGGTCTCCCTGGAGCCTTCTTTTCTCCAGACTGAACAACCCCAACTCTCCCAGCCTGTCTCCAGAGCAGAGCTGCTCCAGCCCTCACACCTTCTCTGTGGCTTCCTCTGGACTCACTCCAATAGCCCCATGTCCTTCTTCTGTTAGGAACCCCAGCACTGGACCCAGCAATGCAGGGGGTCTCACCAGAGCAGAGCAGAGGGGGACAACCCCTCACTTGACCTGCTGGTTTGTTTGGATGGGGTTTGGATCAACCTGGTCTAATTGGGAGGTGTCCCTGCCCATGGCAGGGGGGCTGGAACTAGATGGTCTTTAATGTCCTTTCCAATCCAAAGCAATCGGGGATTTTTTAGGAATGACATCTCCCCACACTCAGCCTCCCCTGGAGATCTCACTGGGCTGACCCAATGCAGGAGCTGGTGGTGCTGTGGGGAGGGGGCTACCTGCAGACCCCATTAGAGACATGAGAAACCTGCTGGGGATGGTTCAGTGGGGAAGAGCTGGTGGTTTGGGGCACCCTCAGAAGGGACCCAGCACCCTGACCCACAAGCACCACTGGAGCTAAGCTGGATAGCTTGGAGCTGCTGCCAGCAGGTCCCCCATCCCAGAATGCTCCATGGAGAATCCATACAGAGCCCTGGGGACCCAATCCAGGCAGCAGGAAGAGTTCACTGAACCTGAGACACTGGAAAAACAAACTCAAACACGAGGCGCTCTAGGGACTGGCGTTTTCCAAAAGAATTTTATTTCTCTGGAAAAGCTCCAACCATCAAAAGGATGATGAAGGGATAAAACCCAAAGCGTCAGGGAGGACTATATAAGGCGGTGCGTGGATGGGACAATGTCATCAGTCATCAAAACACATGAGGGAACTTGGAGGTGCTCAGCTTCAGCAGAAATTTGAGGGTTGCCACCTCAAAGGGGGTGCTGGTGTCACCCTGGGAGTTCCAGATCCAGGAGCTGCACTGTTGGCTGGTGGGAACCACCACTGGATTCAGGAGGAGGGAAGTGGACATGCTCACAGAGCTGATGGGGGAGAGGTGCCCGACAATGGGGACAGTGCAAGTGTCACCAACTCACCTGGTGTCCAAAGACAGTGAAACCTCCATCTCTTAGGACAAGCTAAGCACTCTGATGTGGCTTGAGTGAAGGGGAGACCAGGTCCTCTACTCTGAAGGCTACACGGCAAAGAGATGGCAGGGTGCAGCATGGGTCCAGGTGCACCCCTGTGGCCGTGGTTTGGGGACCATGCTGTGCCAGCCACTGTCACAGGGTGCTGAGCAGGGCAGGTGAGGAGCTCATCAGCTCCTCCATCTCCAGCTGCTGGTACAGGGACATGGAGCTGAGCTCTATGTGCTCCTGGGCATCTTGGTGATGCTTACACTGACCTTTCTCACTTTGGTGTATCTGTAATACCCAGGTGTTGGAGAAGCAACCTCCTTAGACATGCCCAGCCATCTTCTCACTTACAAGTGTCCTTTCTGCTCCTGAAAGTAGCCCTAGGAAGTGTGGATCTCTGTGTAGGCCAGAGGGTGGGATTCCCCCTGCTGGGCCCGGGCTCTGGGATAGGTCTAGTCCACAGTGAGGACTTTTTATTGTTTCTCTTCTTCAGGTGGCCCCGAGCCTGCAGACCTTATATCCTCTTGAGCTTCCCCTTTTCCAGGTGGAAGAGTCCTCCTCTGTCCTTTCCCTCCTGCTGGGGCAGCCAAGCTGCTCCACTGGCCACCCCTTGCCAGGTAGCACAGCTTTCCTTGGGACATGCTCCCCAGAGCTGCTGTCCTCCTTCAACACCCTCAAATGCACAGTTGGAAATGATCATGGAATTATGGAATCCCAGGCTGGTTTGAGTTGAAAGGGACCTTAAAGACCGTTTAGTTCCAGACACCGTGCCATGGGCAGGGATACCTCCCCATGGAACAGGTTGCTCCAAGCCCCATCCAACCTGGCCTACAACCCTTCCAGGGAGGGGCAGCCACAGCTGCTCTGGTGTCCTCCTTTGGTCACTCCTGCCTTCCTGGGAACTCCTATGGTGGGGTTTGCCCTGAAGCCCTGGCACGTCTCTGAGACCTTGTAGCCTGTTTAAAGCCCAGCACGGCTCTCTCCTTCCCTTGTGCATTGCTGAGCACTCCTCAGTGATGAATTTCCTGACCAATCTCATGCTGAGAGTGAGATCTCTAACACCTTGCCTGGCTGCAGGCTGCGTTGGATTGTCCCAACCCACTGATGCCATTTTTACATGTCACTTCTGAGTGCTGTTGGGGACAGAGCTGCAGACCAGCTGGAAAGAGGACCTGTGCCCACCCCTGCTCACTTTATCTGCTGGCTTCCCACCAGCTCTGAAGCCACAGGAAAACCCCAGCTCATCCTCACGGCTTTCACAGCCTCTACTGCCAGTCAAACTGAGCTGGAAAATCTGAGTATATACTGAATACTAGCAGGGATTGGGGAAAATGAGGAGAAAGCAAGAGGAGAAAGGGAAGGAAACCCCTTAATTCTCTTCATCCCTTTGATCACAGGTTGTCCAGGGGGGTGGTAGGTGCCCAATCCCAGGAACCATTTCAGGTCAGATTGAACAGGGGCTCTGAGCAACATGATCTAGCTGAAGATGTTCCTGCTTACTTCAGGGGAATCAGACTGGATGGACTTTAAAGGTCCTTTCCCCCTCAAAGCACCCTGTGATTCCGTGTTCCACCGCAGCAGAGATGTCTGGGAGAAATGACACACTTGTTTACCTCCCTCCTTCCACCCTCCGGCGTGTCCCTGTAAATTAAGTCAGGCTCAGCGTTTTGCAAATACAGGCTGATTCTGTCCAGACCCAGCACCTCTCCCAGCCAGCCCTCTGCTCCTCTTCCTCTTGTGCCCCTGGAAAACGGCCTCTTCTGTCACTTCCCCATCTCAGTGGCTCCCAGATCCCACCTCAGACCCCTCCCGAATTTGGGGTCCCCCCTCACCATTAGCCCAAGCACTGGCTGGCAAAGCTACTGGCACAGTTTAACCAGCTAAAGGTTAACCTGGGTGGGCACCCACCCTCCCAGTCCCAGTTCCTGCTGTGTTTTTCTGGCTCTGGAAGTGAGCAGATGGATGTTTATGGGATTGATCTGATGCTCTTTACCAGCTTTGACAACTTGTTTAATCTTTCCCTGCTCCCCGAGACGGTGCCTTCAGCTTTTCCCCACCTTCCTGTGTTTGGCTCGGAGCTCGTTGAGGACTGGAGATGTGTTTTATTGCCCATTCATCCAGCCAGCAGCACAAAACATGCCCGGCATCAGGCAGAGCTGTCGGATTATTTGCATAAAACAGATGATCTGGAATATCAATGTGCTTGTTTTCCGACTCCCAAAAGGAAAAACAGAAAAGTAGAACATCCCCTCTCTGTCCCTTGCTCCCAGCTCTGTGCAAAACCCCCTTGCAGGAAGGCGAATCAGAGCTGCTCCCTGACAGAGCTGCTGTGCTCGGGGCCGGGTTTATCTGCAGGAATAATCGAGGCAGGGAAGCGGGAACTGCCTGCTGGAACCCTCTGTCCTGCCACGGTGAGAACATGCACGGCCGTGTCTTCTTTATTGCCTCGTCAGCGGGTAATGACTGTGGAGGCAGCCCTGGTGAAAGGTTTGCTGGAGCGTTTTTATAACCCTCCCGAAATGCCAAGGGTTGGTTTGAGATGATCCGTGGCAGAGCTTGGCCGACCCCTGCTGTGCCCCGGAGATGCTGGAGGAATGAATAAGAAACAGGGAAGAGACTCTTGCCTGGAGGGAATGGTTTTGTTTACCAAGGGGGAGATACCTGCTGGGGAAGAGGGAAACCTTGTAAGAGCCAGCAACCTGAAACCCTGTCTGGAGGAAGGGGTCTTCTGCAGGTGCAGGAGAAACCCCTCGAGACAGGGGCCTCTTGAATGGGTGCAAAGCAGTGGGGATGCACAGCATAGAATCCCAGGCTGATCTGGCTTGGAAGGGACCATGGGATGCACAGAATAGAATCTCAGACCGGTTTGGGTGGGAAAAGACTTAAAAAACAATCTAGTCCCAACCCTCTGTCATGGGACACCTCCCACCAGACCAGGTTGCTCCAAGCCCCATCCAACCTGCCCTTCAACACTGCCAGGGATGGGGCAGCCACAGCTGCTCTGGGCAACCTGGGCCAGGGTCTCACCACCCTCACAGCAAAGAATTTCTTCCTCAGATCTCATCTCAGTCTCCCCTCTTGCATCTTGAAACTGTTCCCCCTTGTCCCATCACTCCCTGCCCTTGTCAAAACTCCCTTCCCAGCTTTCCTGGAGCCCCTTCAGGTCCTGGAAGGTGCTCTGAGGTCTCAAGAGGTGGGAACTAGATGGTCTTTAAGGTCACTTCCAACCCAAACCATTTGGTGACTATGAATCCCCCATAGGCAGCAGGGCTGGGGATGCTCCTGCCCGTGTGGGATGCAGGTCTGGGGGAGGCAGGGCCCTGCCTGAGGTGCCGCTGCTCACCGAGGTGATCTCAGCGCTGCCGCTGAGTGGAAAAAAGCATCAAGTCTGCCCCGTCTCTGCGTGTTTACAGAGCTACAAATGTCAAGTGGCGAAGGCAAAAACAACAGAGAGAGAGGTTAAAACACGGGCTAATTAGCACGGGCTGGCAGGCAGTGACTGCAGTGACACCGTGTGTGGGATGGGTGGCTGGGAGGGGAGGGACATGCTTGGCACCAGTCCCAGGAGGTTTTGGCATCGCTGAGTTTGGTTTTGCCCCCAGCCGGTGGGAAAACCAAGTTTTAAATCAAGTGTATCAGGTCGCAGCCCTGAATAAACAATTTCATCAGGGTGCTGGGGTGAAGGGGCAGAGGCACCGCAGCTGGAAGAGCACAGCTGGGTGTCACGTGGAGCACCTCTTGGGGGCATGGGAATGGGGTATCTCCCCCAAACCTCTTTAGGATGGTGGGGAGGGAGGTAGGAATGGGGCATCTTCCCCAAATGTCCATAGGATGGTGGGGAAGGATGGGGAAATGGGGTGTCTCCTCCAAACCTGCTCTGATCTTCCATCAAAGCAGCCCTGCCTGGAGCAGGATCCCACAGAACTGATCTCAATCAATATGTAAAAAGCAAAAAACCTCCCCAGAACACCCCACTTTGTCCTACACCCCAGATGTTCACCAGCACACAGCTCTCCTCCCGTTTTTTTTTCAGTTTTCTCTTAATGCCTCTGAGAGCTCTTTGCTCTTAAAACACTTGTTCCAGGAGCTTGTAAAGTTGAGCTGGGAGATTTGTGCAGCCCGTCATGCAAAGAACTTTAATTAAACATGTGGAAGTCAAACACACTTGGTGTAATTCAGACTGACAGTGTATCTAAATATATTTAGTTCCTGGATTTTAATTAAATCCTCTGGAGCAACTGTCTGATTCTGTAAGCACAACTCAGATTTTCTCCTTTTTTTTTTTTTTTTTCTGTTCCTTGGGACAGACAAGAGTGTTTCTTGCAGGGATATTTGCACTTGCATGATTTCATGTGTTTTAAGTCCCAGACAGGTGATGGATGCTCATGACGTCAAGAGGAAACCTGGATGGGTCCCAGCTAGAGACTCTCTCTGATTATAGGAAAGGTTGCTCATTTTTTACCTTCCAAGAGAAACAATATGTATTTTTTTTTTAAGACCATAAATATCCCAGAAATGAACCATCAGCACTGAAAACAAAGGCAGGGACTCCACAAAATCCTTGGATGGTCCTCAGACGAGCATGATGGAGACACCTGGGAGCAGTTTGCTTCCACCTGTGGCTGGAGTGGGGTGAGGGATGGAGAAACACCTGTGTGAGGATCTTCCCCCTGAAGCAAGTGTCCCCAGATGCTCCTCTCGTGCCTCTGAAAGCAAATTTATGGTATTAGGTGAAACGGGGGTATTAAGTGAAGCACATTTCTTCCCTCTTGCATGTGCCCTGCTTTCCTCTAATCACTGTAATCCCTGTAATTAATTATGCAGTTGTGGCACTAGAAATGGGGGGTGGCAATTCCTAGACTTTTGTTGGGACTTCTTGGGCTCCAGGATGGGCTCATTCCCAGCTGTCCCAGGCCACTGCCAGGGTCTGGGCACAGGCACCCTCTTTTCCAGTATCTCCCAGTTGCTTGCTGGGGCTGGGGCTTTGTCTGGGAACCTTCATGTCTTGCTGTGGGCTGTCAGGGAACATCTGTCTTCCACCCCCCCTGCCCATGCCATCTGTCCTGTGGGGGGAAATAATCACATGAGGATGTTCATTAATACGTCCTTGATGCTACAGCACCCCAGGAAAGGAGAAGCCTCTTCCCTAACAGGGACATGTAATTATTTGAGAGTCAGAGTGGCACAATTTTATGGATATAGCTTGCATGGCCCTCTAGGTACAGGAGCAGCTTTGGACACACTTTGGGGCCACAGAGTCATGGAATCACAGACTGGTTTGGGTGGGAAGGGACCTTAAAAATCACCTAGTCTTTGCACTCTGCCATGGGCAGGGACACCTCCCACCAGACCAGGTGGCTCCAAGCCCCATCCAACCTGCCCTTCAACACTGCCAGGGATGGGGCAGCCACAGCTGCTCTGGGCAACCTGGGCCAGGGTCTCACCACCCTCACAGCAAAGAATTTCTTCCTCAGATCTCATCTCAGTCTCCCCTCTTGCAGCTTGAAACCATTCCCCCTCATCCCATCACTCCCTGCCCTTGTCAAAACTCCCTTCCCAGCTTTCCTGGAGCCCCTTCAGGCACTGGAAGGTGCTCTAAGGTCTCTCTGGAGCCTTCTCTTCTCCAGGCTGAACAACCCCAACTCTCTCAGCCTGTCTCCAGAGCAGAGCTGCTCCAGCCCTGGGATCATCTCTGTTGCCTCCTCTGGACTCGCTCCAACAGCTCCATGTGCTTCTTGTGTTGGGGACCCCAGCACTGGACCCAGCACTGCAGGGGGTCTCACCAGAGCAGAGCAGAGGGGCACAATCCCCTCCCTGGCCCTGCTGGTCCCACTGCTGGGGATGCAGCCCAGGACATGGATGGAACTTTGGATTTGAGTGATAAAAGACATCAAAGAACATGGGTTGCTCCAGCAGTTCTGAAGAACAGAACTTATGAGGAGAGGCTGAGGGAGCTGGGGCTGTTCAGCCTGGAGAAGAGGAGGCTGAGAGGCAACCTCATTGCTCTCTAGAACTACTTGAAACGAGGTTGTAGTAGAGGGGGGTGTTGGCCTCTTCTCCCTGGTGACTAGTGAAAGGACAAGAGGAAATGGGGTCAAGTTGCTCTAAGGAGGTTCATATTGGATATGAGGAAAAAATGATTCACAGGGAGAGTGGTGAGGCATTGGAACAGGCTGCCCAGAAAGGTGGTGGAGACACCATCCTTGGAAATGTTCAAAAAATGGGTGGATGTGGTGCTTCAGGAGATGGTTTAATGGTCACAAGGGTGTAGGGCTGATGGTTGGACTTGATGATCTTGAAAGTTTTTTCAAACCTTAATGATTTTATGATTCTGTCTTATTCCCATCCTCTGACTTTTTTTCCTTCCTCCCAGCTACATCACCTCCTTTCTCCCTGCTCATCACTGGGTGACCTGCACTTTGGCTGCAGGGGACACCAGGTGCAAACCATCCCTGAGGCCAAGCAACAAGGAGCAATTCAGGGAGCTCAGACACTGCCTGGTTTTTGGGCAGGCAGCTCCAGCACAGCTGCTTGTCCATCACAGGAGTTGTCTGGGGGGCCTGAAGGAAGCTTGGATGGAAAGAACAGAGTTGCCCTGGGGTGGGGAGCCTGAAAAGCAAACGACAGCTGCAAATGCAAGGTCAAGATCTAACCAGGATGACTGGAGCTGGCAGGGGGGAAGGAAAGGCAAGTCCAGGAGCACTTCTGAAACAAGAGGGTGGTCTTCTCAGTTTTTGTCTTTAAGAAACAGCTTTGACAGCCCCTTTCACTGCTTCACAGCTTTCCCAGAGCTGCAAAAACTACCAAGAAAATGTGGAAAGAGCTGAGTCTTTGGCATTATTAATTTGTCTATTTTTGAGTCAAAAGAAGAGAAAATCTCAGTCAATCCTTTCTGGGTTCTGCAGATGTTTGAGGAAACTGCATGAAGGGGAGGTTAGGGGTGGTCAAGTCAACCCATAGGGTGCTTTGGGAGAGGACAACCCTTCTCATGAGTTCAGTGGCAATTCCCAGCTCCTCATGGACGTAACTGTGGGACATCCTTGCCATGGCTGGGACACAGCAGCTTTGCCTCCTCTGCAGCTTCCCTGCGTACCAAGGAGCTACATTGTGGTGGCTGCAGAAACCCAACTTCTGGTCTCCTCCCTAGTTGCTGCAGTCAGGAAGGGGATTTTTCATCAAAAGAGTTCTTGCATGGAAGTCCAAAAGATGTCTTTAGGAGAACAGTCAGGTAAGTTCTTTAGGACCAACATCATGCACATCAAGCATCCACCTCTCTGGAAGTTCTGTGTAACCTTCAGCCCTGGAAATTGCTTACAGTGCTCATATAATGATACCTGAAGGGTTTGTGCCCTGCCCAGTGATCAAGGGTGGCTGGGACTAGAATGTTGTGGCAAGGCCAGGCCCCAGCAGATGTCTGAGAACAGGTGGTGAGGAGAAGAGAAGAAGCTGAGAGCTGAGCACAAGCCATGGGTGCCAAGAGCATTGCACCAGGCTGGGTAGCAGATCCTAACACTTTCCTCCACCCCGT